ATCTCCCAAGAGGTTACTAAGATTTTCTTTGCCTGAATTGCAGTCTTTGCCTCAAATAATTAAAAGTGATGGTAAGTACTCTTAGCTGTGACTCTTAAGTACTAAGCCGAATTAATGCTGCAGGAAGGCTGTGCATTCATGCACCATCATCCATTCCTAGTCAAGAATCATTAAGCAGAAAGCTAAGCTTATACTCAAGGAAGATGCACTTAAGTTCTTTTCCTTAAAGGCCAATCAGTCCCCTCATTTGGAGGCTGTGCCAGTGGCTTTGCCTCCAGGAGAAGTGCTCTAAGCCTCCTCCTGTCCAAGAGAGAGCACATGCCATCTCCTCTGCCCTCAAGTGTCCAGACTTGTATTTTTTTGGGGGGGGAGGGGGTCCGGTCATGGGGCCTGAACTCTGGGCCGGGCGCTGTCCCTCAGCTCTTCAGCTCAAGGCTAGCACTCTACCACTTGAGCCACAGCGCCACTTCCGGCTTTTTTCTTTTTGCTTATGTGGTGCTGAGGAATCGAACCCAGGACCTCATTCATTCAAGGCAAGCGCTCTACCACTGAGCCACCTTCCCAGCCATCCAGACTTCTACAAAGGAAACCTTTGCCTTCAAACACTTGGAGCATTAGGTAGATAGCAGTGATCATCTGCTTTAGAAGTTGGCTTTCCCTCTTTTGTTTTTGTTTTTTGAGCTAAAAGATCATAAAAGAAAAAAATCCTTTGGCTCAATAGCTTTTTTTATTATGGTTTTTTATGTGCTTTCTTAGAGAAAAGTTATAAAACTTGGTCCTTTCAGTTTCTAGCGGAGATATACAATGTTCTCTTCTCTTTGTGCGAGCCACCGTGGAGCCATAACTGTATACACTTTCACATCGGATGTAAAATTCATATCTCACTCATGAGGCATGCAGGGAGCACAGGAAACGCCGTCGACAGAACTGCAGTCTGTCTGAATAGTGATTTGTGGCCGGGGAGTACTTTTCCTTCGGAATCATTAAATCTTTGCAGCTAAGTATTCCTATGCAATGACAGATTGTACGCATGTATGAAAATGATCTCTTCAAAAGTGCCCGCAACGACGCTAGCGATGGCCCAAGCTCTCCAGTCTATCCCCAGGTGATGCTGTCACCCTGTCACTGGGACAGTCACAGTGAAGGGTTTGTGTCAGTGTCCACGGCTTCCAGGGGCTCCATTATTAGTAATAGATATTCTTCAGCCAAACGGAAATACCACAACATTAACTAGAAATCTACCTTCTTAAAGTTGCATTGCTCGTTGTATGTAGAAGTCACGCGTGTAGCTCAGCAGACTTCCAAGGGAATGGAACAAGGGGAAAGGTGCCCTTTTCCTTTCCTGGCTGTCAGAACTCACATCTATGCTTCTTTGCCCAGCACACTGAAGTCCTCTACTCTTTACCTTTTGTTGTTGTTGTTGTTGTCAATCATGGGGCTTGAACTCTGGGCCTGGGCGCTGTCCTTCAGCTCCTCAGCTCAAGGCTAGCAGTCTACCACTTGAGCCACAGCGCCACTTCCAGTATTCTGGTGGTTCATTGGAGATAAGAGTCTCATGGACTCTTCTGCCTGGGCTGGCTTTGAACCACGATCCTCAGATCTCAGCCTCCTGAGTAGCTGGGATGATAGGCGTGAGCCACCGTCACCTGGCTGAAGTCTTCTTTATGCCATCACATTCAGGTTATTAAGGTGGAGAAATTTGTCTTGGATAATATTGTTATGTTACATGTTTCAAAACTTGCTATGCTCTCTGATACATTTTCTGTTTTTAATTAATATATTATTGTGAAAAGGGATTTTATTGTACAATTTCCATGCCCAGATATAATTTACTTTGTCAACTATATATTTTAAACCTCAAGTGCTTACCAAAAAGGTGAATGAGTCAAGCTATTTCTCTAAGTTGTCACAGAAAGCATAAATATGGGTTTCCAAGATGCCTGGAATCCATCAGCATGGCCCACAGCTCTGGACCAGCGTCATTTAACACTGGCTCTGTAATTCAGGAAGCTGACCCGGTGAGTGTCTAGGCACTCATCGGTGCTGGGCCACGCTTTCATGTTCCAAAGCTTCTAACAGCTCAGATGCAAACGGTTTAGGCTACTAGCCTTGAGGAGTCAAGAAAGGAAGGAGCAAAAGCGAGTTGCATGTCCAGGGGGAAGAGAAGAAACGTTTAGCTAAAGCTGAGCTTCACCTGTGCTCTGTGCTGCATTTGCTTGGAAATCATCTTCTGGTCAGTTTTGCCCTTTGTATTAGCCACATTATCGATATTATTAACCTTACTGTTATAGTATATCTTTCACCACTCCTGCTTGAATCTTACACTTTATTTCTTGAGTCATTTTGCACTGGTAGTCTGTTAGAGACAGACTTGCCCAGAGTTTTGTTTAAATCTGAAATGCTTCCATTATTAGCAGTAAGCGTGCAAGATGTAAGCTTCTATAACTTTATCATTTGTATAAAAGTGTGCTGTTTTCCCTCTCCCTCGGCGCGTGGACGTGCACTGCCCACGTGCTCTCACCTCCGCGGTGGGAGTGTCCAGTCCCCTGCAGGGTCTCCCCGCCCCCCGGCTCCTCTTAACAAATGTGACCAGTGTTGTGTGTCTTTGCCTCCTTCCTCCCTGATAGGCGTCCTGCCTTCCGGATGGCCGGCCATTGTTGTTTCTCAAGAACATGCCGTTGCTGTTAAGATGCAATGCATCTTCTTTCTCACCGGCCTCATTGTCTCTGTGTCCTTCTCTCTCTCCATTCTCCCTTTCTTGGGTCCCTCCCTCCCGGGAGGCCCCTCTGTCCTCGCTGCTCTGTGTGCTGGATGTGTGCCAGACATGTGCCCCTGTCATCTGCAGGCCTGCCCACTGAGGCCACCTTTCCTCCCGCTTCCCGCTTCCCGCGCCCTGCACCTGCTGGCTCATTCTGATAGGAAGCACTAACCTGTCTTCCTTGTCAAGAAATACTCTCTTCTGTTGTGTTCTTTTATATGTGTAGCACATTATAGTTTTATTGTCACATTCTATTTCATTTTAATCAATGCAGTTATTTTTATAGTCATTTAGAAGTATTAACATCTTATAGCTTTCTTGATCAATTTTAAATCTATAATTTTAATTCCTAGCCTTATTGCTATTAATGTCTATTATGAAAGTATGCATTATTCTGTAGTTGATAATCCCAGATGACTGAATAAGAATAATTGAATCCACTAGAACAACAAAATTAAAGCCAAATTTGACTGTTAAAATACAAAGATTGCCAAACATAGTGTTTAACTGAAAAGTGAAGTCTAACTGCCAGTCATGTAGGAGGAACAGATCAAAACAAAATGACAACAGGAAAAAAATTAAAACCCACACAAACTGTGAAAGTAAAAGGACAAATAGAAAAGGAGTGGGGGTGGTCCCAGGTGCCCCCATGACTCAGTGAGGCCTGGGGCAATCTCCCTGAGACCCAGGGTCTGACAAGCTCTGTGAAGTTAAACAAGTTAAAAATGAGAGAGAATATTAAAAGCAAGCAATTCAGGGAGTGCCGAGCAAACCTGCTTAGAGTCCAGGGAGAGATTAAATAAGCAGCACAATAGCCTTTTTAACCCATCAGTACCCAGGAGCTATCCCAGTGCCGGGTAATGCTGATGGGCGCGAGGAATGGAGATGTGGGGTCAGGCAGCTGTGGGAACCGCTGCTGCACTGCTGAAGACGACGTGGCAGTGCGTCTTAAAACGAAAACTGCTGGTGGCCTTCCTCCGCAGAAAGCAAACTCACAGGGCATGCTTCATGGGCCACGTTGCTTATCATAATGGTATATTACTGGAAAAACAGAACATAATCAGGTACCACATCGAAAGCCTGATAGAGGTGATTGGGTATCCCACTGCATTTCTGCAGTGGGATAATATGCAGCTATTGCTCAGAAGAACCCAAACCTCTATTCACTGTTTATGGTCTTGTTACTAACTTAAAGGTAGAGATACAGGGTTGACATTTTTTGAAAGAGTGATGAGGGGAAAGCTCACACAAACTGAACTTGCAGCGTGGGGGCAGCGTGGAGACGTGAGGGGCAGGAAGAGCCCCATTGGCAACTTCTCCAAATCACTGTTGTCATTTAAAATACAACATCTTTGCAAATAAATGGAATGTGACTTTGGACTGTTTGGTGGGGCTGTGGAAGAAACGGAGCCTGTCACTGTAATCTCACTGTTCCCCGGCTGGCCACCGAGAGGGTCAGCCCAAGGCCAGCCATGTGAGGGGTCAGCCCAAGGCCGGCCACTGAGAGGGTCAGCCTGAGGCCGGCCACTGAGAGGGTCAGCCCGAGGCCGGCCACATGAGGGGTCAGCCCTAGGCCGGCCACTGAGAGGGTCAGCCTGAGGCCGGCCACCGAGAGGGTCAGCCCAAGGCCAGCCACGTGAGGGGCCAGCCCAAGGCTGGCCACTGAGAGGGTCAGCCCGAGGCCGGCCACATGAGGGGTCAACCTGAGGCCAACCATATGAGGGGTCAACCCAAGGCCAACCATATGAGGGGTCAACCTGAGGCCAACCACGTGAGGGGTCAGCCCGAGGCCAACCAAGTGAGGGGTCAACCCAAGCCTACCACGTGAAGGATCACCCCAAGGCCGGCCACATGAGGGGTCAGCCCGAGGCCAGCCACATGAGGGGTCAGCCCGAGGCCAATCACATGAAGGGTCAACCCGAGGCCTACCACGTGAAGGATCAGCCCAAGGCTGGCCATGTGAGGGGTCAGCCTAAGACCAACCAAGTGAGGGGTCAACCTGAGGCCTACCATGTGAAGGATCAGCCCAAGGCCAGCCACATGAGGGGTCAGCCTGAAGCCAGTCACGTGAGGGGGATCAGTCACGTGAGGGGGATCAGCCACGGGTCCTCAGTGTGACTGCACTTCCCTGCACCCCATGGGCTTCGCCCCTCGGTCCCCAGGTGGCCAGAGGGGTGACAGCCGGTGGCGGGCCAGCGGTCCCAGGCCAGCGTGGTAACGGTGTTTGCATTCCCTCCCACAGCCCTGTCCCCACGATCACGTGGACGAAGGTGAGCGCGGCCATCCCTGGGAAGGCGCGTCTGCGCAAGTCGCAGGCGGTGCTGGAGATCCCCAACCTGCAGCTGGAGGACGCGGGCCTCTACGAGTGCCGGGCCGAGAACTCGCGGGGCAGAAACGCATTCCGGGGCCAGCTGCAGATCTACAGTGAGTGTCCCCACATGCACACGCGGCCAGCAGTGCCTGGAACCTGAGTGTAATGCATGATAAAGCATCACAGGAAATGATCCTGCACAGAGAAACACTTTAACTCGGTCTGCACCCTTCATCGGTGTGTCATTTTCCTGGTAACAATTCTATAAACGTCACTAACTTATCCTAGGCCTCAGCTTAGGCCGAGACTCACATCTCTGTGGCGCATGCCCTGCCCGGCCAGTCCCCGTTTTCAAGTTGTGCCCACCTCTTTAGGTAGGCCTCACACAGTACTTTAGCTGTAGAAACACCGATGTACTGTAAGAAGTGATCTAAAGTTGTAGATTTTTGAAATTTGAAATTTCTTGCAGAGGAAAAAAAGTACACTGAATTGAGCTGTTAGGAGAATTGAGTCATGTATGTGTTCACACTTCTAGAAGCTAGTGAAGTGGAGGTGAAAAGTAGCCAGTCCTGATTATGTTGGGTCCTGTGAGCAGCCCGTGGTGGTAGCAATTACTCTATACAGCTTACAGACAGCACTCGAAGTGGAGGAACTCGAGCAAGGGGATTCCTGTACTGCACTTGAACCCGTCTTCACCCTCAGCTGAACATGTTTCCAGCATAGCACATTACTTCTCTGTGTCCAGCTGAGAGTCCTAAGATGAAACCTGATCTGTGTGGTTAAAACACATTGACTCCTCAACCCTTAGGAGCAAGGGAGAGGCCACCATGCCTAGCATTCATCAGCAGAGCTACAGAAGGCCTAATGACATGAGATACACCTCCGTGTGGGGAGGTGTACCCAGGAGACAGAGTGAAGCTCAAATGCATTGCATCTGGTGAGCTGCTCACGGCTTCCAAGTTTAAAGGGCCATGCGTCTCCCTGCGCCCAGCCTGGGAGAGGTGCCTGACAGAGCCAGACTAACGAAGGGCCTGGGGTGTCATCCCTCCAGGTGGGTGGGTTCCCCACAGTGCAGGCCTGGTCTGTGAGTGATGGCCACACTACCAATCAGAAGCGGGCCCCGGGCTCTTCCGTTACCTGCACCCTTCTAACAGAGTTGCTAGCAGAGCCCTGTGTGTTTTAGATCTCACATAACCGTTCATTTTGTTGTGCTAAAAATCTGCTGTGCAGCCTTGTTCATAGGATGGCCTGAGACAGACCCTTTCTTGGTACAATCAGTGTGTGGCAATGTTTTTGTCTATCACTGTCCTTTTGTGTGGTATGTTTTAGTTTTGGGCCACAGAGTGGCTCATGAAATAATTTGCCACGTTTAAAAGGAAGCTTTGGTAATGCTGACCCGATCCTGTATGAAATGCAACCTACGTGTTGCAGGTATGTGACAAAGGATGGCAACTCACATTAAACCACCTTCCTGTTCATGCAGTGTGATGTTCATGCAACAATGACATGGAGTTGATTTTCGGCTGTGGAGCCTCACTTCATTCTAACATGATCTGTTAACCCCCTCACTTGGGTGGGCAGTGTGAGTGTGTGTACTTGAGAGCTTTTCTATGAAGGCAGTTAGCCACAGCTGTGTTCACCACTGTGCGTGCATCCAGAGACACAAATGGAGCACGGCGTGCGGCACTGTCTTGGTTGCTCTCACTGCTGTGGACAGGAGTGCAAGTACAGATGCCCAGCCCATTGCTTGGCACAGAGTTAAACCAGGGCTATCCCAGGGCAAAACAGCCACATGCGAGACACCCACCTGTCACTCCCAGAAATGCCAGCAACAGCGTGCTGAGAAGCTTCAGCTGGTCATTGCTCAAGCGACCAGGAGTTGAGCTGATTAGCAAAGGACCCGGTGACTCCATGAGGTTGGCTGTATACACCAGGTACTCACCAGGCTTATGCTGGACCTTGAATTCTAGGTAGACATTGGAACAAACAAGAAGAGAAGCCGGAGGCTTTGTGTGGAGTGGGTAGTATAAGGAAAACAGAGTCTGCTTGGCAGTCGGCCACGAGGATTGTGCAGAGAGTAACCGAGGGTGGCCGAGCGGCCACAGGTCGAACCGGCCTGTGACAGGAGAGCCCTGGGGCCGCCAGCCTCCCCCTTCCCGCCCCACTCCAGGGCCACGGCGGGAGACTGCAGGGAGGCTGATGGCAGGAGCCGCGCAGGAACATCGCTGTGTAGAGCTTTAAAATGGCAGCTCGGAGGCTCAGAATGAGCTTGGTTCATGGCCACTCTACGCCAAACAAAAACAAGCACACGTTGGCTAGAAAACCAATGAGCTTTAAACAAAAGCCCGCAGAGCAGAGCTCCTGCCTGAGACCAACTGCAGGGCTCAGTGGCCAGGCTCTGCCCACCAGCCACGCGCTGGCTTGGACAATGGAGACGCGGAGTAGCCTGTCCTTAGTCTGGAGATCTCGGAAACTGAGTTTGACTGGGGCAAGGCAGGTCCGCAGCTAGCATTCAGTAAGTGAACTTTCTTCTCTGCCTTCTGACCTGGCATGAAGCCGTGCTGGCGCTGTGCTGTCACACTCCCGCACCGGAGAGAGGCCTCCGCCGCTTGGCCGAGCCCCGGCACCGGAGAGAGGCCCCAGCACCGAAGAGAGGCCTCCACTGCGCAGCCGAGCCCCGGCACCGGAGAGAGGCCCCAGCACCGGAGAGAGGCCCCAGCACTGGAGAGAGGCCCCAGCACCAGAGAGAGGCCTCCGCCGCGCAGCC